CACTTTCCTAAGCGTTTAATGCAACCCCACGAATAGAAATAAGAAGAAAATGTTACGTGAATATGGATCGAGTAATGTTTTATTAAAAGTCGTAACACAAACAAAACAGTAACAAGCATGCTGTAGATACTTATCTAATTTCTCATGCGACCATTGTTTGCTAATTGAGATCGCTGAAGATGATTCATATAACTTCTATTAATCGTTTTACTGTTAATATTTTGTTTCAAAATGTCGACTGTTGTAGTTAACGATCAGTATGCAACATTTCTTTCTTAGTTTTATTCGTATTGATACAGTTTGATTGTTTAAACGAAAAATACTTACTCCCTTTCGTACTTCTGTTTTCACAGTTCGTATTATTCTCCAATCGCCGAGAATCATGCAACAGCGTCATAAATGCATAGTCACCAGGCAACGTTATTTATACAAAACCTTCAACAGGTAAAGAGATGCAAATCGATAGTGCTAAATATTAATTCCCAAGTTTTCTGTTGTCGTTGCCAATGCTAGAAACGACAAAGTGGAAAATGAAGATTCGAGAATTTTGCTCGAAGCAACTCCACGTCAATCTAGAGAGACTAGACTCGAAGCTACTTAAATAAGATTTAAAAACTCGCTATTATGTGTTGAACCCAAGGATTATTTATTCGTGCATCAATACACATCGAGACATTACGATTATAACCAAAGTTTCAGTTAGTTAGGAGTAAATGGAGCAGCATGACGTGCGATACAAATTCGAGGTCTCGCTGGGTCGACGCGATGAAATCACTTAGGAATCAGTGGTAGAAAGAGGAAGAAGGATTCTTAGTCACCCGCACATTATTCATGGCAAAGCGCCATGGCATAGGAATATCGGTGTTAATTGAGGTTAATATTCAGCTTCCGGCGAAACGAGAGTAACGAGTCGATCGAAATATACCGTCCTCCAGAAACGTGAATACAAACGCACCATGTGTTTATCAAACCTGAAATGCTGTTTGCAAGTAATTCTGATAAACACAATTAACGGATGTTCAAATCGTATAATACATCTAATATCGTTAAAAATGTTTAACACAATATCAAGTGGCACGATCGTGTCTCTGAAACATTTTAATAAGAATTAATTCAAATCGATACAAAAATTAAATGACTTATCCATAGAATACACGAAAGTATCGTTAAGCATTATTAACGCGTAAAAATTGGATTTTGTATTGGATAACCTTGGCTCGAGAAGCTTTCGATACAATGTTCCCCTTTGACGTATCCTAGGATATGCTATCAGAAGCTAAGACGTAAGTGATTACACCTGAGGGGTCATTTGTGATCAAAGGAATTTCTAAGCAAGTTGCATAAGGACCTCGAATAAGTAACAATGTCACGCGTTCCTTCAAAATACCAAAGTCTGGAAGTGCTGGAAGAACTCTGATATTACTGCACTAAACAGTGTTTCAAATCGTTTCTATCAGGAAATAAAATATTATAAAATATTATGATTAGGAATGATAAATTATATGCTCTTACAAATTTAATATAATCCATTAAATTTTGAAAAAAATTCACATAGAGATCGCAACGTTAATTAAAAAATATTTGTTTCTTTTTTGTATATATTTGGTACTTAATTTATTATTTAATAAATTTTTTTATTTAATAAATTAAGTACCAAATAATTTATGTATTTTAGTACCAAATATATACAAAAAAGAAACAAATATTATAAAATATTATGATCAGGAATGATAAATTATATGCTCTTACAAATTTACTATAATCCATTAAATTTTGAAAAAAATTCACATAGAGATCGCAACGTTAATTAAAAAATATTTGTTTCTTTTTTGTATATATTTGGTACTAAAATACATAAATTAAGGACTATTTTCTTAGAATCTAAACACGATGATGGTTAAACAGTGTCGTGAAATGTAATCGATAAAATGTAACATGCCCACATATGTATAAATATAAATACTTCCTGATCGTTCTCACATATCCTTGCTTCAGCGTTCACGCGGAATAACCTTTGACATATTCAGGAGTTCGTTATATAAGTTTCGCATGTTCGATAACAAGAGGTCAAATTTGATCAAAGCAAACTTCAGGCCAGAACGACCAAAACAGCTGTTCTCTTACTGTCAATGTTTCTTAATTGCACGTTCACTGTTAATATACTCAAACACTCGATGTAATTACAGACGCGTAGTCGCTACCATCGATGCCACTAAGTGCATCCCAAAAACAAATTTTCACATCACCCCCGTCGTACGCTTCAACAACGTTATTACCGAGTACAATACTGTTTACTCATTTCCCCATTTCGAAACAGGCAATATTGAAAAACAATTCGAATAAACTCGCGAGCAATTAACGCGCAACTTTTTTAACGATGCAATTTATACAATTTCAGGAATTAATTCTACATTTATCTCTAACAGAACTGTAAACAAGACCGTTATCAGGCAGGTGCGATGTGGGCGTCGAGAAAACGCCCTTAATAACGAACAGAATTAAATTAACTTCCGGCAACGTCTCGTTCAATATTTATAAAACATATTACCTTTTCAAAAAAAAAAATCTTGATACTTTTATCGAATTCTACAGTTAAAAAATGTAAAAATGGTTAATCGCGAAAGTTTCTAAAAGAAAATTGACTTGCAGAGACAGCCATCTCGAACCGTTTAATTTAAAAAAGAAAATGATGTCGATATTTGAACGACATAGTACGTAATTGTTAACTCTTGTGTGAAAATAATTAATAATTAATTAAGAGAATAAATTCCAAATAACAGCTTGTATATTGGAGCGAATTAATTCCATAAAATTAATTACGATATACAAGAAACATTTCGATAAAGTGTGTCAACTTCCGGGATAAATTCGACAGCAGAAAATAGTATTAAAAAATCTGATAGAAAGTCATTTCGAAATGTAACACAAAATTGTAATTAAAATTTCGTTTATCGTCTCGATATCTCGAATCTTATCTCGAAATTAACCCTTTCGAATCTTTGTTCAGTTTTGAGTAAACTGAAAAATAAACGATGTAACATATGGGGTGCACATCAACGATTAGGGGCACGAAAAACAATGGAGAATGTTGATATAAACCTGAGTCCTGTTTAAACGTGTTTTCAAGCTACAGCCATTTTTGTAATTCGGTATATGCAGCTGCTTACCTTTACAAAAACTGCTCAAAATGGCCACCTTTGGTCCGAATGGTAGCCTGCGGTCGCCGTGATATAGATACTTAATTTACACACTACATATTCGCTCTTAATAAGCGGATTAAAACAGTGGAGGATAAATATTAAATTCAACTGCATTTACATCGAATAAGAGTGTCTGTCATTTCCTGATTTGAATATTTATTCGTTACCAACTTAAACACACAACAAGTTGCGGAAACATCAAGTTCTCGTGAGAAGAAATCGACCTAGATTGGTTTAAAAAACAAAACACAGTCAACAAGCTTAAGAGACATCAAGTTATCGAGCATTGTATGCAAAAAGTTTAGTAGAATCGGTGGCGTATAGGCAAACAATAATTAATCGATCAATTTGAAAAAAAAATTAATGAAATTAGTTTACACTAACGTACCAGACCAGGAATGAAACAAATACCGGCGACTTTGGCAATTAAAAGTTCTGCCGCTCTTATTGGAAAACCGTATGTATACTGTCTGAATTTGCGGTAGCTGTGACCACACATTTTACATTACTCCACTCGTAAGCTCTCCGACAGTGTGCCATACTCAGTGGCCGTTGGCCTAAATACTATCGTGCAGCCGAATCTAAGAATTACCAAAACACAAACATGGCTCTAACTTGAGAACAAAGTACAACGTGCACATATGTTTCCATCAAATTCGAAAGGGTTAAACCATCTATTTACGACACTGTTGCCCACAATTTCGTTTGAAACACACTCGTGTTTCTTTGTCAAACAAATTTTTTCCTTAAATCGGAAGTAAAAGAGTTTCTGAGCGAGCAACTCGTCCCCTAAAAGTGTCAGAGGGTTAAACAGACACACCGAAGGTAAAGTAAATTTATTCAACGAATTAACCGCCCTATTGCCTTTATCAGCAGCGTCAGCTTTATCGATGCCAATCGCGTTCTCATCGGGGAAAATGTCGAGGTTCAAAAACACCATGTGCCAGCGGTCCTTCCGCGAGCTACAAGGACGTGTGGGGTCAGTACGCGTGGGTTGTTGCACCGGCTAGAACGACGGATCGATGCAGCTTGCAGTGGGGTGCACAACCCGGCTAGCAACGACCCGTCACTTTCCACCCCCACAACCATAGCAACAGGCAGCTATTTACGCGTCTCCGGTTCACGGAGAAATCGGATCTCAGACTTACCGATTTAAGGGATTCTTCTGAGAAAACAATTCACTTTTTTTTTTTCATTCCTTCGTTTCTCAAACGATTGCAATCCTAAACATGCGTTTGTTCTTCGTTTGAAATTATAAAGATTTGGAGTAAAGTTTGCGCGAAACTTTGAGAAATATAAATAAGAATGAATTTAGATAAATATATTTTCTTTTTAGCTGATTTCCATTGTCAGAGTTTTAATTAATATTCGACTTTCATTCCTAATTAGCTCCTATTCCTCCGTGAACATGCATGCTAGATCTGTTTCCATGGTCGAACAGAACAGAGTGGCTAATTTGATGTTTAAATAAGAAAGCCCTCGAGCTTCCCAAGGCGGTACAAACATCAAGGTAATTAAGAGTTTCGTTAAAACGCAAAATATTAAAAGAGCGTTCAATGTCAGTAGCAGCTTTCCCCTTTAACGTTCGACGATTTTTTCCTTTTAATTTTTCATTTCCTCGCCGCGATGTCAACCCGTGTGCAAGGGTACACTTCATTTTTCGTGATACTAATTGAATCACGCCTAAATGGAAAATGTATCAAGCTTGATCTTCTCAGCATATCATTGTACAAGCTTATGTACACGAGAAGTGTAAATTAAGAGTTACTTTTCTATTTAATAATTTTTGAATGCACTCACGTCTCGACGTTATTCCTTTGGTGCACCTTTGCTTCCAATCTTGCAATCAAATCACTGCCAGTTTTCATGTGAAGAGAGCTTTCTTGGGGGGTGCTTTGATCTCGAAGCAGCTGGAACACAAATTAATCGTTCAAATAGAATTTTAATTACACTTACTCTTCAAAAGTAAGCGATAATTGTATAGTTTCCTAAAAAAAGGACATATGTTGCATGCAAACTGTACAGAATTTTCAAATTTTGCTCGCGGTGGTTTGAAATTCGCTTTTTTAGCAAAAATCGATTTCACTGTTTCGATAGCAGAAACTCACTCGACGTATCTCTATATTTAAACTGACTTTTTGAGGTGTTCAATAATTCGATTTGTGCGAAAGGAACAAGAGTTCGCGACCCAGGAAAAGTATTTGAAATCGAATCAAATGTCACCTTTTCGCAGACTTCTTTAACGAGAAACGTTCGAAAACGTCAGAGTACGTAAATTTCGACCAGACAACGTTAAATGCTCGATGAAACGTGAAACGGATACGTAATGATACTATTTATGAAAATGTATTTATTGGACAGCCAGCTCCCCTTCTTGAATTTAAACTACATTTTCCATTAGAGGTGTTCGTACTGACGTGGGAGTTATTAAGGGAGTCGTGGACCGACGAAAATATCACATCAAATTCGTATGTCACGTTCAGACGTACATTAGAAACTTTGGGAAAGTTCCAACCCTAGAAACTTGTTTTAGTTAATTGCAATGAGGGGTTCCGAGACTATTCTTTATTTTTATTGACTCCCAAACATAGATGGTATTGTAACGATAAAAATAATTAAAAAAAACAGCCAAGGGAGCCTCAGAGTCTAATGCTTTCGTATCACAACGATTAGAATCAGTCATGAATAAAGTCATGCATGATCTGTGATTACTAGACTGCGGATGTTTATGCATTTATGGGAAATTTGAATCCTCAAAAAACTACAGAATGCATTTAATATGCAAAAATATAAGAAATACGAATTATTATATTTAAGGGTTGAGACAATCATCTACAAAGCTCCCATTTTATTAATTCAATTAATAAAAATGTGAATTTGCATAAAGATCCGCAGTCTAGTGATTACCAAAGCTTTAGTGAGGAATAGTTCCATGGTAATAAAATTATATAGAGTCTAATAAATGTTCGCGATAAGAACCCACTATAAACAAAGTGTCTTTCCTTCACCCTTTGGTTGCTTTGTTAAAGTATTGATAAAGCATGAAATTAAGTTTTATAATAGTGTTTTTAAATAATAAACCACGATTCTTACGTTCAACATTTTCTGGTAAACGTAGTTTCAATGGAGCTCGAGCTTATCGAAATCGTGGGAGATCCGAGAGCCCGATTCGCAGAAATGTTAGCTCCGAAGAGCATCCTGCGCGTGGGTGGATTGTAAACTATTTACCTTTACAAAGAGAAAGTGGCGGGATCGTCCCCCGGTCTCAAAGAGGAAAAGTTTCCTCGCGAACGAGGAGATGTTGCCTCTAAAAATACGCCCGCTATGTGTCTTCATCAGCGTTCATCCCTAAACACTCCCGACGGGACCACCCTCGCAATAAATTATCGAGCACACTCTTCCCCGTGTTTATTGCCGGTAACGTGACAAGAAAGCTCGAGTGGGAGGTACAGTTTGCCTGGTAACGAGAACTAAACACCTCTCGGGCGTGTTTTTGCGCGAAGGGTGGTCTCCGAATCGCGACGAAAAAATCGGAAACAGAGAGCCGGGCGATTTTATTAGCCTCGGGGAAGGTTCGAGGGCGCAGCGAAGCTTAATCAGAGATCAGCCTTGGTTTAAATCGTTAAGACGAATCCGAGGGGCTGGGTTTCGGTGTAAAACGGCTCTGGGGAAACGGAGGGACAGCCGTGGAAAGAGAGTCAAGGTCCCGAAAATTCAAGGTCCCGAGTTTTCCAGGCACGAGCAAGAGCGACGACGTTGCGTGTAAATAGAAAAGGGACGAGGATATACCCAGAAGGCAGCCTAGCGGAGAAGGGTGGCTAGCGTCGTTTTCACTCCTGAACGACCTCCAAATACCCCAAGAACACGTGCGTGGCCCTGTACGCTCCAACTTCTTCCTTTCCAAGGACGAAACATTTTCGTCGCCTACAATGACAGCGTAGTCGTTCGAGGAGGGTTCCAGAGATTGAAATCTGGAATCCCCGGCATGAAAGGGACAGAAGGGTTTATTAATCACGGTTAGCTGGAAAACAAACTGGGAATGAACTGATGACGAAGGTGGAAAGGTTTGGTCCAAGGATGCGAGCTCAGGCGTTTTCGAGAAACGTTTCAATTACACGGTTCTTGTTTGGAAAAATAATTTCACTCGATTCGATATTACAGGGTGTTCAGCCACCCCTGGAAAACATTTTAATGGGAGATTCTAGAGGCAATAATAGGACGAAAATCAAGAATATCAATTTGTTGATTGATGCTTCGTTAAAAAGTTATTAAAAAATTAATTAATTCACGGAAAGATTACTTTCGATTGCGGGAGTCAATTAGAATCATTTTTGTAATACGTACTTTCGAGATTAAAAATTTCTTACCGAAAATATCATTTCTGGCCAGAAATGTTTGCCCAAAATTTCATGCGAATCTTTAAAATATCATAACTTCTGAACGGATTGAAGGATTTTAATGTTTCAAAGTGCAAACTACGCGTATTTTGATGAAGAATGTGTAGAAATTCCAAAAATACTCGAAATGTTACTCCTTCACCCCTGTAAAATGAGAAAAATCCCCACAAAAATTATCCAATTTTCAAACAGCCATAACTCCTACAATAGTGAATATATCTCAATGAAACTTTTTTCTGAAGTGGAGCTCATGGGTACCTACAAAAAAGTATTAGACAACTTTTCTGTAGGGTGTCAGACAAAACTATTAAAAATCAGAAACTAATTTGTAAGAAAAATCGACAGGGGGTAGGTGCTGAAATTTTTCGGCAAAATTAAAAAATTTCAAATCGTTCTAAAAAAATTATTTTTGGGTGCAGAGATCAATTACAATCATTTTTGGTGAATAGACATATCTTCGAATTCCTACGCGCTTTCGGGAAAAAAATTCCTTACCGAAAATATAATTTCAGACCAGAAATGTCACTCGAAAATCTCGTGCGTATCTTTAAAACGTTATAACTTCCGAACGGATTGAAGGATTTTAATGTTTCAAAAGGCAAACTACGCGTATTTTGACGGAGAATATGTGGAAATTCCAAGAATGTTCGAAAAGTTATTCCTTAACCCCGTAAAATGAGGAAAAACCCCATCAAAGTGGTTCAAATTTCAAACAGCCATAACTCCTACAATAGTGAATATATTTTAATGAAATTTATTTCTGAAGTAGAGCTCATAGATACCTACAAAAAAGTATTACACGACATTTCCGTACAACGTCAAACAAATTTATTAAAAATCAAAAACGAATTTCTAAGAAAAATCGAAGGGGGTAGGTGCCTAAATTTTTCGGCAAAATTAAAAAATTTCAAATCGTTCTAAAAAAATTATTTTTAGTTGCAGGGGTCAATTACAATAATTTTTGGTGAATAGACACACCCCCGAAATCCTATCCAGTTTCGAGAAAAAAAATCGAGTAGGTGTGAAATTTTTCGACAAAATTAAAAAATTTCAAATCATTCTAAAAAAATTATTTTTAGTTTCAGGGGTCAATTACAATAATTTTTGGTGAATAGACACACCCCTTAAATCCTACCCATTTTCGAGAAAAAAAATCGAGTAGGTGTGAAATTTTTCGACAAAATTAAAAAATTTCAAATCATTCTAAAAAAATTATTTTTAGTTTCAGGGGTCAATTACAATAATTTTTGGTGAATAGATACAACCCCGAAATCCTACCCAGTTTCGAGAAAAAAAATTCTTTACCGAACATATACCGTGTGGCCGGAGATGTTTCTATAACTTTTTAACGAAGCCTCAATCAACAAATTAGTATCCTTGATTTTCATCTTATTTTGGCCTCTGTATATCATAATGCGTTATAGTTTTTTGTTCCAAAGACTAAATATGATAGAATTTATTTGTGTTATTCTAAGTCTTTTCAATCCATTTTCTACGATAAAATTTTATTCTAGAGGAATTACTTAAAGAAATCAAAATAACTGACGAGATTGCATCTGCTCCGAAATTCGAGAAATATTTCCAACTCGAAAAGATGATGTGTAGCAACAGAAATGGAAGGTGTGTGGGGGAGCAGTTGAAATACGATTTGTTTCTGGCAGATTCACGATGGCGTTGGGGACAACGATAATAATAGGGCGCGGACGTAATTTTAGGTAATGGAACCACCGCATCAATTTTATTACGGTAAAGTAACAAAGAAATTCTTCTGGATGATTAAACGCCAAAATTTTAATAATAACATCAAATTAAGCAAACCTCGCGCTAAAATAAAAATTCTCTGAAACCGATTAAACGATAAAAAGTCGTCCATACGCGTTAAAACTAGAAAGAAATCAATGTCATTAATTTTGCTTTAATTCCCAAATGCTTTGAGAATAAATCAAGCGAAAAATACCGATGAATTACGTGTGTATGTACAAAGGTATTTCCCGAGTTTCTGATCCTGAAAGTCTTTTGCTCGCCATGACACGATACAGTGCTGTCTAGCGGGGAAAAACGAAATGGGAATAAAAGCTGGACTCGAATTAGGATCGAGAGGAACGTGGTTGGGAGAGACAGGTCGGAGGTCAAGGCCAAAGAAATTCGTCGGGGGAGTACCGCGTATTCATTCGGAATCTTTTCTACGACTTCACGACTTCTTAACACCACTCTCACCACCTGGAGAGCTATTTCAGCATAATAGTATAGAAATAAACTGTACATAAAAATACGGAAGGGGAACTAATTTAACGAGGATCGTTATTATTTCGCCAAAGTTAAACAAAGACTAATGAAATCGGTTTATCTAAAATTCTATTAATAAAAAAGTCACGAGAAACTGTTATTCTTGCATGATGAATATCTCCATGGAGCCAAATAAATAATAATTTATAAATCGACAAAGTTGATGAGATCGCATTAATTTATTAAACAGTCCAAAAATTCGATGTTTCACGTTCCACGTGACTACG